GAAACGGTGAAGAGGTAACCCGACTCGGCCATCTATTGTTATACAGTACGTATACGTACAGGTTTCTCGTTCTGACTTTGATGATCCACGACACCGACCCAATCCGATTACAACGCTGACTCGATATATAGTGTCGGGACATCACTACGGTATGCAAGTATTGTGGCCTCCGGTCTTCGCGCGCCCCCTTGCGCCTGCCTCCTCGATCGCTGATCACCGCTGCCTACCGCTGTTACGCCTATACTATATGCCTGCCTTTGGGTCATTGACGCCTATCGCGCACATGTCCCTAGCTCCACACACATCTGGCGACCGATACCAGGAATGGCCAGCTACCTCAGGAGGAGGCTCTGCTCGTTCAGAAGAACTTGTAGTTTATTTTTCCGTTTTGTTGCCTAGTTATGTTTACCTCGTCGTTCAGAACTACCTATGTTGCGTGGCCATACGTGGCTTCACCGTTTTGTACTACGAATGTGTCTATGTCGATTTTATCAATCTCAAAATGATGTGCCGGCTCACTGTTTTGAACGTGCTCATAGAGGTAGGTTGTGTGTGCATGTGTTTATAGACGTAAGTGTATGTGTGTATGTATAAGCGTCTGCTTATGTACTGTGTTAAAAAAATAGATGTTTAGCATTCAAAATTTGTCCATAAAAAATTGCATTTCTATCTTCCCAATGTACTTTAAAATAGAAAAAAAATGTTTCTCTGTAATCATACGAGAATCAAGACCAATAACATTCACACATGATCTTCTCACTTTCTACATGCACTTAGCTCATTGAAGATGAGGTAAATAAAGAGGAAAAAGATGGTGGCTTACACCTTCCCAATGCATTTTTCTACTTTACTCCATAATCCGCATTATAATTGTCATATGTCCACTTACCTAAGAACGTAGGAGTATGTGTGAACTTGTAAGCGCCATTGTCTGGATTAACTAGCAAAGTGGTCCTAGAGAAAACGACAAGGAAAGACCCAGGCTTTTCTCCTTCTCCTGTTGGCACCATCGTCGGTCAGCCCCATCTCCGATGGCCTTTGGGCCATGGAGGCGCGGAGGACCTCGGCTCCCTGTTGGCAGGAGGGACCCTGTTTTTTGTTGTTTGTTAGGTTTAGCGTCTTGGTTGGGGTTGTGTGGCGGCGGCCATGTCCTTCAGTGGGAATAATGTCCCCCATGTTCTATCCCCCCTCCGATGGTGCGTCCAACGTCGTCGGAAGGCATGTGGAGGTGTGTCTCCGTCGGATCTCGCAAGATTCGGTCGGTCCTGGTCTTCGGAGGATCTATTTGGATCTGGTCTTCGTTCGTCTTCTTTTGGGTGTTTACATGTTTGATCCTTTCGATCGAAGACCTTTTTCATCGGCAATGGTTACTGCTCTGGTGCATTGGTCCTATGGGGCTTTAGCATGTCGACTTCCCGGCTGTCCACTACAACAAAATTTGCCCAACTTCGGCGAGGGAGGGGCGATGACGGCGGCGCGTCTTCGGCTCGCTTAGTGCTTGTAGTCACACTATGTGGTCTACGGACCTGGTTATAATTTTTATTATCTCTAGTGTTCTTTGTACTGTCATGATTGAAATGAATAGATTGGAAGTTTCTTATGCAAAAAAAAGTGGTCCTACGAATGCGAGGGCATCATCTTTAGCAACTCATTTTTTTTAAATAAAAACGCAAGGACCGTCTGACTTTAAATTAATAAAGTCCACAAACTAAACATATTGACAACATAGTTCCACAAACCATGGGACGATTCATATCTTACATGGCCAAGGCCAACATAACGAGCACTCAGGCTCAACACAAAAGGCACGAGAGACCTAAGACTCCTCCTGGGGTTGGCGCGATGTTCCGAAGCTCTTTTGTCGCGGCCTACTTGGCTTCAACGTTCCAATGTTTTCCCAATGGAATCCACTTCTACGGACAGAGGTGACATTTAAAATGTAATCAGTCGGGTGCAAGAGAAAAATCAACTTGATGGTGATTTTGTTTCCGACGTGTAATAACGAGTACAATAAGGTACAGTCAACAGGTTGTAACGAGTAAAATAATATTTCTATACTTAGTTGGAGGAGAGAGAATGTAAGCGGACTCTCATGCAAGAGCCAGCTGCAGCACGTGCTCCTAGCACTATATGAGAGTGGAAGATAGACCATATATTAATAAAGTAGCACATAGTTATACATATTGACAATAAGGTTGGCTATAAATGACATGGCACTTTATAAGCAACAGTTGGCTATACTATTAACCATGTATGCTCTAAAGGTCCCACAGATCCTACTATTCAAATCGTGTTGGGATGATGGGATCTAAGAGTATCCAGCAGATCAGCCCCAGAGGCCGGGTTCCACAGCTGGCCCGAGGTCTCACGCACCGCACTCCACGTGAAATGAGAAGGGTGACAGCGAAAGAAAAACATGGTCCACGTCCTCTGTGACGACGCATACCAAGCACGCTCTATGGGTGGGTCCATGCCTCTTCGCCCACGCGAACGTGCAGCTTCCCGTCCTATCATCTTTCCCAAATAATATAAATTTGACATCAGAATTTTCGGGTGCTTCCAGTTCGATCTACAAGCACGAATCACGTCAGAGGTTCACTGCCATCTCATTCGACAGGAACCATCCGGGTGAAGTATTAGCTATAGATGGGGTTGGTTAAAGGTCTATAGATACTCATACTTGGTGCTCATATGTTAATTATGCCATGGATAGTGTAATGCCTCGAGACCGACGCTTCAGAAGACTTCCAGCTATTTCGAGTTTTGCCGTGTAATTTATTTTTTGTTTGTTGCATTTCATCATGTCATCTCTTGCATTGCATCATGTCATCATGCCAGCATGTCATTTAATTTTTAAGACCTCAACTAAATAAATTACATAGATCTTTTGATCTATTTAAATAGAGGGAATTCACATGGTGATTTCTCTTTATAGCATATCCTCCCAATATTTAGGGAGCTACTATAAAATATTCCATTAGCTTGAAATTAACCGTAACACACTTGCAAAATTCCCATGTCCTTTCTACTTCAAGTTTGGTCCCCAAACTTTGCCAACAATTCTTATCTCTTTTATCGAGGCTCCTCCTAAAGTCTCAACATTTTTGGACCTCCCTAGCACCTACTTCCTATGCAAGATCATTTGAATTATATTCAAATGAGTTTGAATTCTAACCTCTCACACATGCACACTCCTATTTTCTTGGGTCACGCTCGTTTTTGCGAATCCAAGAAAATTGCCCTCCTGCCCAAGCTCCACCCCTAACCTCTCTCTCTTTTCTTTCTTCTCTCTGTTTTTTTATTTAGAAGAAAAGGGAGAGAGCCAGCCCAGCTGGGCCTCCCAGCTACTGCAGCTCGGCCTTCTCCCAGCGCCAGCCCACCTCATTCCCGCAGCCCACCAGTTTCTCTAACCCTAGGCCCGACCCCTCTTCTTTCCCTCGTCCCCTTGTCCCGCCGCCACTCACACGCTTCGCACAGGAGAGGAGCGCCCGCGCTCGATCCCCATGGCGCCCCTGTTCCCCGCGGTCGTGGCCCTCGACGCTCGCCGTAGCTGCAGCTCCTTCTCCAGCCTCGTCAGATCCCAGCGCAGCCTGGTGCCTCCTCCTCCCTTGCTCCTGGACGCGTTTGGCCGCCCGCAACCGTCGTCGTCCGCGCCCACAGGAGACAACAATTGCAGCCCCGAGTCCTCTGCTTCTTCCCTGCCGGCGTCCGAGGCCGCAGCCTCCCC